GTTTCTTCTCTGAAAATTCATAGGTTGCCCATTCCTTCCATCCTCCAGCATAGTGTTTAGCACTGAAAATATATATCAAATGGTTGTGTTACTTAACATTTTCTCTTGTTAGATAACAGGAAGTTGATAAGAAATTTAGAGATAATGTAACTACTCACTGTATTATTTAGATTCTAAGCCTATTTAAATAATTGTGATGCTTCTAAGTAAGATGACAAGTTATACGCTTTTTTGTCTCCTTATCCTGCCTTTATGAATGGTAACTATAAGGCTGCCGTGGTGGAGGGTGTTTGTGTGTGGTGCTGGAGGATGAACCCCAGGCTCTGTGCATGCTTAGCGCATGCTCTACCACTGAGCTATATTCCTTGCCCCAAGAAATCCTTAAGTGCATCAAGAAAAACGTCATTAAATGAATATATGAGAAACATTTCAGCACACAATCTTCAATCCACTTTTTGTTCATCTACATACCTGTTAAAGCCCAGAGATCTTGCTGTGTCCAGAGCCTCCTTGCTTCTTACTCTCTCTCCCGCTAAACAAGAGAACACCAGACTATCTGACTTGGATGGCTTGGCTTCGCAGTACTTCTCCTCGAAGTCTCTTGAGTTCATCTGTAGGGCTTCAGTTACTTCATGTAAGGGTATATTGATAGATCCAGGGATTTTTCCATGTTCCACAATTTCCCATTTCTCTCTAACATCAATTAACATAACACTTTTGGAGCTCAATAGGTTTTTAAGTTCCTTGTAGGTGACATCCTTAGAAACAGTACATAAATTATGGCAACTTCCCTTTATTGACTTCAAATCTGTGAGAAAAAATAAAATAACACTATTTTCAGATAGGCATGGTGGCAATACCTGAAATGCTAGCACTCTGGCAAGCTAAGGCGAGGATCAAAGATTCAAGTGCAGCCTAGACAATTCAGTGAGACCCTGTGTAGTAGAGTACTTGCCTAGCATGAAAGAGGCCCCACGTTCAGTCACCAACCCTGGGGGAGAAATGTGAACAGAGTACAGAAAAAGAAATTTTTCCACTTATCTCCATATCCAGACTCTGAACAGAAAGATCTAAGCTGTTCCTTTGCCACCATGCTTGATGGCAGACCTGCCCACCCCATATTCTACTTTCTGGAAGCCCTTTATTAAGCAAGAGCTTATAAATATATATTAAGACTTTGATAACAGTTATGGAAATAATTTGCTAATCTTATTCCAACCAATTGCAAAGTTAAGAACTTTTAATTTTTGGCTGCCAAGCCAGCCCTACCCTCAGGACGCACTGAGACATTGAGATTGGATGTGCTGGTGCGTGCTTATAAACCCAGCACTTGGGAGGCTATAAATAGGAGGATCACTACGAGTCTGATCTATGCAGTGAGACCCTGTACACCCTACCCTACATTTAAAAAAAAGAAAGAAAAAATTTAATTTCATCCTCTTTTAAGCAAAGGGGGAGGTAGGGAACTCATGTTTTAAACTACATGTGGGGTCAGCAAGATAGCTCAGCAGTCTAAAGCGCCTGCTTAGGCAAGCTTAGGCAGGGGCAGGGGACCGCTGTTCAATCCCCAGCACCACATACCACTCCAGCCTCGCCTGCAAGGCGGGCTGAGCTAGCAATAAATAAATAATAAACTACATGTGTAACTGCTAAATGGTGAGGTTTCTATCTCTGTTAAATAACTGGTAACATAATACAGTATTGGATAACAGCTCACAGGCAAAATCTATACTACAGGCTGACAAAAAGGATATAGCAGAATAAATACATGAAGCAGGGAGAAAGGATCCTCTTCCTCATATCAGGGTCCCACTTGGTAAATGCAGAAGAAATGATGGAAAGTCATGAGCAGACACTCCAGTATCAACTGTTGCTTTGATAGGTCTAGATTTAATAGGTAGAACTGTGATGAGAAATAGGATAGTATTTGTCCATGAGATGTTTACTAACTACAAAAGGAGGAAATTGAGATCCCACTTGAATAAGCGATTCAAAAACTCCACTGGTAGGGGCTGGGGACATAGCTCGACTGTTTAAGCGCCTGCCTGGCAAGTGGAAGTATCTAGGTTCGATACCCAGCACCACATGCCTAGCCAGCCTTGCCCCTGGGCACACAGAGACTGTCACTGAAACCAGGAGTGGTGGTGCATGCCTGTAACCCCAGCACTGGGGAGGCTGAAAACAGGAGGATCACTACAAGTCTGAGCTACGCAGTGAGCCAAAAAAAAAAAAAAAAAAAAAAAAAAAAAAAAAGATTTGACATGTCCAGCATTTTGGCATTTTACAAAGGAAGACTGATCTTTGTTCTTGTGGTAGATTTAGTGTTCTGAAAAAGCAGAGAAAGGAGAAAAAAGAGATCACAACATACCAACTGTGAGAATTCTGTGCCTGGGAAAAGCAGAATTTCAAATTAATAGGAAAAAGATTTCATTTGCCACTACTTAGGAAAGAACTTTAGGTAAAATTACCTATTCCTTATGTTTAAATTCCAAATTTAAATCTGAAAGCTAACACCTTAAAAGTACTATGAGTACTTTTTTTTTTTTTGCGCGGTACCGGGGATTGAACTCAGGACCCTGCGCTTGCCAGGCAGGTGCTTATTCTACTGAGTTATCTCCCTGGCCCTATGAGTGCTCTTAATAGTGGATAAGTGGATAACTTTCTTGGAAAAGGAGGCCATGCTACATGAAACAAAAAGTAGAAATCATAAACAAAAGTGCTAAATTTATAGACAGAAAATGTACAATAACAATTTGAAAGCAACGAGTAAGCAAAAGATTAGTATTAATAGAAAGGGCTCACACAAATAACAAGGAAAAGAACAAAAATCCCAATAGGAAAACAGTGAAAATATGTGAGCAGGGAATTGATATGAGGAAAAGCTGCCCAATTCCATAATAAATTAGGAAAATACAAGAGTTCAACAAAACTGTATCAGCTTTCTAAAAGTTAAAAATACTGGTAATATTAAATATTAGGGGATGAAGAGATGGTTACTTTCAGGATTGTATAATTTAAACTTTTGATTTAGCAGTAACATTTTAAGTATGCATATCTTTATGACCTCATGATTTTACTTTTAGAATTCTACAGGAATACCAGTATGAATGAATACAGATAGAGGTATAAAGATGTTCATTAACAGAACTCTTATAAAATTTTTTAAAAAGTACAAAGAAGCTAGAAATCTAACAGTAAAGGAATAGTTACAACTGGTAGATTTATACGGTGGAATTTATACAATGGAATTGTCCAAAGTAAGGTATTAAATGAAAACAAAAAAAAAAAAAACTAGCTGGAAAACTGTAAACCTAACATTTTCAAATCTCTCAGGTCACAATGTCCTTAGTGTGTTAGTAATTTATTTGTAGTATTCATAGGTCAAGAGAAACACATAGCAGTACCATTTATTAGGTCCAATAATTAAGAAAAGTCAAAAGCAAATTATAAAGAAAACCAGACACTCTGCATTTTCATTTGTCATTCTCTATGATAACAACAGAAAAATGAACACATAATAGTTTAAAGATACAGGCTTCCAGCAATTCCACTAAGTATGTACTACAAAGAGTTGGAAACAGGGGCTTCAAGGGCTGGGGATATAGCTCAGTGGCACAGCACCCGCCTGGCAAGCATCAGGTTGTGAGAATGATTGCTGGTACCCCACACACAAAAAAGAAAGGAAGGAAGGAAGAAAGAAAGAAAGGAAGAAAACAGAGTCTTCAACAGGTATTTGGACACTAATGTACCCAGACTATCCATAGTAACCAAAAGTTGCAGAGAACCCACGTGTTCATCAAGAATGGATGGACAGGGGCTGGTGAGATGGCTCAGTGGTCTAAAGCACCTACCTCGAACAAGCTTAGCAAAGCACAGGGACCGCGGTTCAATCCCCAGCACCACATGTCGCCCCACCCCACCCCCTGGTGGGCTGAGCTGGACACACACACACAAATACATAAATAAATAAATAAAATTAAAAAAAAAAAAGACTGGCTGGACAAGCAAAATGGGGTAAACAGATACAATGAAATATTCAGCCATTAACGCAGGAACAAAGTTCAAGACACATACTACAGCATGGACAACACTTGAAGACATTATGCTAAATAAAATAAGACAAAAAGTACAAACATGATTCATCTATATGAAACACCTAAAATAGACAAACTGAGAGGTTTCCAGGAGCTGTGTGGAATAGGGATAGGGAGTTAATGTATAATGGCTATAATTTCTGTATGAAGTGAAGAAAAATTGGAAAATAGTAAGTGGTAACAGATGGCTAGGCATGGTAGCACACACCTGTAATCAATCGCAGCACTTGGGAGGCTGAGGTAGGAGTATCATTTCGAGTTCAAGACCAATATGGGCTACAAAGTGAGCCCAAGGCCAGCCTGAACTACATAGTGAGACCCTGTCACAAGAAAAGGGGGGGTGAGGACTATACGACATTGAGCATGTAATTCATGCAACTGCATTCGACTCTTCAAATAACAAATTTTATAATGCATATATTTTAGCAGAATAAACGTAAAAATAAAAATAGATGTTTTCTCATTTATTTTAGATTTTAAACAGTTGGTTCAGTTTTGTCTACAAAATTAAGTTTTTAAAACACCTGGAATCAAACTATTTCGGAGTGAGCAGGCTATTTCTCATTGTTAGTAACTGGAAGGGCACAGTGTACAGGATATCACTAGTGATAAAGAATGTTCAACTCACTTCTGGCCTGTAGCCAATAGAAAGCAAAATCGCAACAGGGAGTAATGTGAAACTAAATCAAAGATAGTTATGCTTCTGCTGTAGAGTCATCAAACTAATATTTAACTGTCTATAATTCAGCAATAAAAGCTGGGCATGGGTGGCACACCGCTGTAATCCCAGCACTCAGAAGGCTAAGGCGGGAGGATCATTGCAGCTCGGACTACAAAGTTAGCTAGCTCCAGGCCAGCCTGAACTGCATAGTGAGACTCTGTCTTAAAAAGACTAAACGATAGATAGATAGATAGATAGATAGATAGATAGATAGATAGATAGATCGATCGGTAGATCTATCAGCAATACTTGGGAGGTGGGGTGAAGGATTAATGAAGACTGGATGTCCTGCTTTTCCACTTGATGAGCAAAGCCCTGAAGCAACCACATTTCCTTGAAGAGGCTCAGCACTGCCAAACCTCTCACAGTATGCATCTCTTCATA